TTCTGATCTTGGTACCCACATTCTTATTCTAGAATATTGCAGGTTTTTTTTTTTTTAGCATGAGGCATAGGACATAATATACTTATAGTGCTTATATACTATATATAAGTCATGTGAACTATCTTTTTTCCTATAGTATTGAGCATTGAACTCAGGACCTCGTACATATTAGGCAAGTGCTCTATCACTGAGCTATGTGCCCAGTTCCACAAATCACTTTAACACTGAGATGTGAATCTCTCATGCTCGTATCACCAGTGGATCCACATGGGACACATAGTAGCAAATGAGAAACCACCATAAAGATATAAGAAAACTAAAGAATAAAAGATCTGAAACTAACACAAATAGAGAAATAGTAGGAAGAAACTGAACAATAGTCCATTACAGACTAGGAGTTAGGGCAGGACACAGGAATTAATTATCAGATTGCTTCCTTCATTGGTAATGTAATTTTCCATGAGAAGAATGAAGTTGATCATAAATGTACGATCTAGTCCTCTTGGGATTTGCTATAAACCAGCCATTAGCCTAATTCTTAATTTTCCTCAACTGTTACTGAAAGTGTTATAAGCCAGAAACCGAAAAGGCGTGAAGGAAGACTATGAATAAAATAATCTTTGCCCACAATCAGATTTACAAACAAAAGCAATGGTAGCAAAACAAAAACAAAAACAAAAAAAACCAACCAAACAATCAAACCACCAGGGTCACTATTTATAGGAATGCAGAAAGCTTTTATTGCCATGGGGAAAATCTTGACTTTGATAATATCATTAAGTGGTGGCAGAGACAATCAGAAGGTAAACACGAGCCTGATGAGTCTGCTGAAACCCAGGTTCTCTCCGGGGGCGCGGCGTTCTCCCTGGCACTCCCGACACTGCCCACTGTCCTCTGCACCACACTCAGGAGCCTGATGCAGGCGCCATGCACACAGCCCTGACACTGCTCCCGCTTTTAACTGCTGAGTGCCCGGCAGCTTGTCAGGAACAGGGATACAAATAAAGGAAAAAACAGCCCTGATTTGATTCAGTTGTGTTTCCTATATTTGCTTTGGAAGTAGGGATGGCAGAAAGCCAATGGCTTCAAAATTCTAAAAGTTTTCTGGAAAAATTTGGAATTCTGGGTTCCTTAACTCTATCTGCGACTCTACCCAGTCTTACACAGAATAACATCCACATTTTTCATTGCTATTGGTCTCAGACCCTGTCTCTGTATCAAGTATCTTCTGGTTGTTTAAAAATGGATCAAATACTTAGATATAAAAATAGGAACACTGGTAACCTGCTAGAAGACAAAGTAGGTAAAACTCTTGGAGACACAGGTGTCGGTAAGGACTCCCCGAACAGAACTCCAATCGCATGAGACAGAGTACCAAGAATCAATGAATGGGATTGTAGAAAATTAAAAAACTTTTGCACAGCAAAGGAAATGATCAGCAAAGTGAAGAGACAACCTACAGACAGGAAGAAAGATTTTTGCCAGCAACCCTTTGGACAAAGGACTAATATTCAGAATATACAAAGAACTTAAAAAACATTAGGCCCCTCCCCCAATAAAAGACTCAATCAAAAAAGGTGTAGCTGAAATAAATGGACACTTCTCAGAAGACATATGAATAGCTGATAAATACACAAAATATACTCAACTTCTCTGGCTCCCAAAGAAATGCACGGCAGAACAACACTGAGATTTCATCTTACTCCAGAAAGAGTGTCTATCATTAAGAAATCAAATAATAAATGTTGATGAGGATGTGGGGAAAAGGAACTCTTCCTTTAGAATGTAAATTTGTACAAATATGGAAACTATGGAAACTATGGAAAATATCATGGAGGTATCTCAAAAAATTAAAAAAAGAAATTCCATTTGACCCAACTGCATCTTTCCTGGGCCTCTTCCTCAAAGAGGTAAAGTCATCATAGCACAGTGACACTTTATAGCACCACAAATCACAGTAACTAAGTTATGGAAATAACCTAAAGACACCAACAAGTGAGTGAATAAAGAAAATGGGAATATATACAGTGGAGTGTTCCTCAGCTATAAAGAGGGATAAATTTGAGTCACCTGCGGCAAAATGGATGGCTCTTGAGACCACAGTGCTAAGGAAAATAAATCAGACTTGGAAGTTTATGGCACTGTTTCTCTGATACGAGAAACTCCAAAGAGCAAAATAAAGGAGAGGCGGAAGGGCAGGTAGAGGTGGATGTTCTGCAGATGGAGAAGGGAAACCAGAGAAGGGAGAAGGGCAGGCGGGGGATGGGACCAAAACGGATCAAGTTGCAATGTGTATCCTTAGTAATTTGTCCAAACAATGTGATTACAGTATTATGTATTACAAACAAACTAGTAAACATATTTTGAAAAAAATATACCTAATGCATTCTGATTTGCATGGGACTAAGAATTCGGGGCAAAAATCCAAAATAAAACAAAATAGCTGGGTATGGTGGTGCACGCCTGTAATCCCAGCACTTGGGAGGCTGAAGCAGGAGGATCACTGCCAGTTTGAGGCCAGTCTGGGCTATGTAGTGAGTTTAAGGACAGCCTGCACTACATAGTGAGACTTTGTCTTAAAAAACCAAAAAATAAGATTAAAAAGTAAAATAAAATAAAACCAGTTGTTTCGAACCGATTCTCCAACTACCCGTAGAAACTGGCAGCGCCTGGCTGGAGGGTCCACTTTACAGGGAGGGCGCAGGAGGCCAGGAAAGTGGGCTTTGTGAGGAGCTTAGAGTTAGTGCTGACGTCTGCGTAGGCCCTGTCCCACCTCAGGGAAGACTGTGTCCCCCAAGACTTGTACGCAGACCCTCAGCGTGACTCAGGAGTGAGGGGACCCAGCGTGCGACCAGGGAGGTCAGGGAGATTCCGGCGCGCGTGGCAAGGGCTAAGCCTGGTGTTCGGTGGTCAGGTTCGGGGTCTTGCTGGCCACTTGTGCAGCGCTGCTCGCGCTCTGCACACTCTGTTTCTGCCACGGGACGTCCGTTTGCTCAGATACTCGTCGATCCTCAGCTCGGCTGAACATGGTCAAGGCGTGTATGATGTTTGCTCCGGTAGTCAGTGCGCTCGGCTGGGCGCTGGCCTTGGGGAGGAGAGCAGGGCCTGACCGTCATGAGGCGCTGCTGCCTGACCTGAGCAGTCCTGCGCACAGGGCCGAGCACTGCTCTGGAGCGGGGACGCCGGCAGTGCTGGGCCAGGAGGACTCTGGTGAGCGGCTGCATCCCGCCCCGACCTTCCTACCCAGTACTTCAGGGTTTTCTCTTACTTAGATCAACTGGCTAAGGGACTTTTGTCACCGCTAGCCAGGCCCCTGAGCCGACCTGCCAGCAGGGGCAGCGCAGGGCATTCATCTGGCACACTTCACCCTTCCCAGAGTTAAAGACCAGGACAGCACCGCAGGCGGCGCACCGCAGGCCACGCGCATCTGGCTGGTTTGTTAGAAAATATGCCTGGAAATTCCAACTCCAGGGAACCATATTCATGTTCCTGAAGCAGGAAGAAGCATATTTTTTAAAGACAGAAGCATTTCTTCTTTCCCCCACTAACAATGCATTGTCTCGTACATTTGAAAGTGAGGACATTTTACAAGATGTTTGAATTTGTACAAATTCCAAATGCAACAGCAAGAAAAATGAGGAAAACGTTTCTGTAGGATGTGAAATCTTCAAGATGGAAACAGACTTCTGAGGACAGGGATGGTGTCTTCTGTTTGTAATCCTAGGATCCAATAGCAAACTGAATAAGTGAGTCCTGTCAAACAATAACAATAAATATAAAGAATTGGGAAGGTGTATACCAAACGGTACCACACAGAGGATGCTGCTACAAAAATGTCAAGCCTAGGGGCTGGGGATTTAGCTCAGCGGCATAAGCGCCTGCCTTGCAAGCAGGCAGTCGTGAGTTCGATCCCCGGTACCGATAAAAAGGAAAAAGACCAAAAAAAAAAAAAAAAAAAAAAAAAAAATGTCAAGCCTAGGATCCCAGCTGTGTGAAGCTTCACAATGCCAAACCTCACCAAGACTTTTATTTCATTTGTAAGTGATACAAACCCAAACCACAACTACCATTTACCCATAAATAAAAGGTTTTCTCTTCCCTAACTGTAGAATACAAATGGTGACTTTTTCCCCAAGAGCACTGTGGAAAGGAGGAAAAGGGTAATCAGAGAGCAGAAACCAGAAAACTTACCTCAGCTAAGATAGCGTCAACATCAAGAGTAAGAAGACATTTGGACATGTATGACACTTGTAGAAAATGTCACTTAGGCTCCTGTTATGATTGATACACTGTGTCAACTTGAGCAGTTGAAAAGTGTATCTAGGAGACTCAGCAGGGAGCCAGGGTTCTCCTCTGTAAATATCCTCAGCCTGTGCAAGAGGAGGGCAAGGAGATTTTGTGAGTGCTACACCTGCCCTGGAGAGGGTAGGGGTGCCCTGAGTACAGTATATGGGAGGGAAAGAGGCTTGCTCTTGCCCCCTTTATGCTCCTGCTGCTTTTGCTGGCTGCTTCCTTGAAGGGTTGCCCAGTGCCATGTGCCACCTTGCCATACTCAGAGCCAGCTGAGTATGGACTGAAACCTCCACAAACAGTGAGATAAATAAACCTTTTCTTTCACTTTGGGTGTGGATATTTTGTTTCAGCAATGAGAGAAAGTCTCCCAAGTCCATAAGCCCTAACTATGAGAAAAGAAAAGTGGTTTTGGTGGAGAGATCCTGCAAAATTCCAACCAGCAGTCCTCCAGCTGCCATGTCACCAAAACCAAAGGCTGTCTGAGGAACTGTTGCTCCTGAGGAAATCCTGGAGAGGTGGAAATGTAACGTGTGCCCTGGAACAGAAGAGTAACAGGATAAAAACTAAGGAAAACAAAACTGCATAGGGTTCATACTTTTGGTTCATAATGAAATGCCACCTCAATATAAAATGTTAACGTGAAAAGTGGGAGTGGGCTATATGAACACTCTGTACTATGCTCACAATTTTTTCTATAAATCTATACATTTGTAAATCTAAAATTATTCCAGTTTATTATTAAATACTTGGACTGAAGACAAGTATGTTCATTTCTTATCTGTTTCCCATTTTTCCAATAATACAAAGTTGTTTGCCCTTTCAATGAGAGATACATTACAGAAATTAATTATGATTATTACACTCTTTACAAATGAATTGAACTGGGGTAAAAGGTCCATCCGGCATTGCTGTGTGTCTGACCAGGATTCTCTGGAGAGCAGAACCGGGATTTCCGGAGCGAGGCCCACAACTCTGCGGGAACCGTGCACAGCGCCTAGAGGTCGGTTGGCTTCTGGCGCTATAGAGCCGGTGCGCGGTGCCGCCACGTGGCGCGCCTCCTCCTGCGGGGTTTAATTCGCGTCGCTCCTCTGGACCTGGATGCTTTTACGAGGAACACAGATCTTCCTGGAGTTCTTGACCAGCGTTGCTTCTGCACTGGAGGTGGCCGCGGAAAGGTGGATCCTGAGAGCGCGCCGGCGAGGCCCCCGCCCATGGTCTCCGGCGCTCCGGTCACTGGGTCCCCCACTATGTCACCCCACCGCCACCCCACCTCAGTCTCCGAAGGAGATGACAGACTGGACGGACAGCAGGGGCGGAGAGCAGGGAGCGCGGGCCCGCCCCAGCCAGCGCGCTCCCGGAGGCGCAGGACCCACCCGCCACCCACGTGTGAGCCCCGCGTGGCTGGGCGCAGGGCTCCTGCCAGTCGGCTCTGCAGCCACCGCGGCGCGGGCTGCCGGCCTGGAAACCTTTTCTCGATTTCTTAAAACTCTGCCTACCTTTCTAAAGGGTACGTTTTCCCTTTAAATTGGAGAGACCACGGGCTTCACGATTCCTCCGTGGACCGGAAAGGACAGCACTCTGGAGCCTGGGCTCCATCTTCCCCAGACGCTGCCCGGGTGCCCCGCGTGACAGCGCAGGGTGCGGAGCTGCGGGCAGCGGGGCTCTCCGCCCTCCAGGAGCAGGACTGGCTTCTAGGCACCCTGACAAGCCTGTCTTTTAGACTTCGAAGGGCATCCACAGGTTGACCCAGTACTACAAAGCTAAATCGATTCCCCATGATTTTTAACAAACGCACAAATTGTCTTCCTAGCTCCTGTCACCTCCTTTCTACTTAGAAAATGCATATTTCAACTTTGTCTCTTTGTAAATTTATCCTATTCCTGTCTCCTTTATGAAACCATTCCCAACTATTCTTGGTCTTACAGCTCTCCGGATTGTCTCTATTTTGGTAGTGCTTGTCCTCCAAACCACATAATTGAGCATTAATTGCACAGTGTGTCACACTCTGCTTTTGTGTTTATGTCTTAGTTTTCTATTTTGTAACTAAATTACGAGCATCGTAAGTCATTTCACATTTCTCACTTTACAGATCCAAAAACCTGCTCCAGTGTCGAGACCGCGCCAGGGCCTCCAGATTAGGCCTGGCTTAGCCCTTTCTCCCCCTCCCTGCCCCCCTCTTTCATTTCCTTCCACTGGTGCTCTGATTCTGGAATATTTTCTAGGAGTCCCTCATTTAATTTTTCTGGGAATCCTGTTTCCCTGTTTAGGATATTAATAAATGTTCATTTTGCTGGATGAATATGTTAGTTATGCGCACAGACCTCCAGGTGTTCTTAAAATATATAATGGGGCATGGATTGTTTTGACTCGGTGGTATTTTATGAATGAGTTATTATAATACTGTGGTAAACTCTGATAGATAGAAACTGTTAATAGAGACTTTTTCCCGTGAATATTCTATGAAAATTCTTGAGGAACTCAGCTCTGATTTTATTATTTAAAAAGTCACTATCCTGTTAGCTCCACTCCTAGATGTCATTATTTCATTCATCTAAAGGGCCCTAGCTCATTAAGCACTATGCAATAGCTGCCTTAGTATTTATAGACTGCCACCTGGTAAAAATATAGTGCTGGGTTATGTTTCAAGCACCACTTATCAAATAAAAAAAATTAGTATATGTCTGTGGTTGCTATCTCTAAACACACCTGAGGGTCATCAACCCCCCTCAGAGTCCAGCCATCTGCTTAGAACTAGGGCTCTGTCTCCCCCAAGTAGTAATATAATCTGGTGTGGGAACACAGTCCTCCGAAAGTAGTGCGTCCTGCTTGAAAAGAAGGGTTCCCCTGATGCTTCCACTCTTTCAATGCAGTGGCCTTACTTCCTGTTTCCTGCCCAAGTTCTAGGTCAAAAGAGAACAGAATAGCGCGTGCTGGGAGGGGCTGGGAGGCCTCTCAGGAGAGCAGACTTCAGGTCTGCAGCTGACCCAGGTCTAGCCAGCCCAAGGACTGCTGGCTGGAAGGAGGTGAAGACAGGTGGACATTTTTTAGGTGGGGTACCAAGGCCCCAACCAAATCGGGGCTTTCCGTTACTAGGGAAGAAGGGCAGAGAGGATGTGGGTCAGACACTCACTCCAGCCTGTCTGCACAGAGGAGGGCCAGCTGATTTCTCATAAACCCGGAGCACCTCTGCTCAGGGCTGCAGCACTATCAGGATAAGACTGTGTGGCTGGGCTGGACAGGTCTGGGCCGCGCTGTAAGCAGGCTGATGCTGGTCATGGCTCTGGAGACCCAAGGCTGGAGGGGCGCCTCTGGGGATGATCTCAGTGGCAGAGTCCGGATGGCCAGGTCACCGCATGGCTAGAAACCCTGTGTGTGTGTGTGTGTGTGTGTGTGTGTGTCCCCTTCTCTTTCTCTCTGTCTCCCTCTTCTCTTTCTGCTCCTTCCTCTCTCTGTCTGTGTCTCTGTTTTTCTGTCTCTGTCTCTTCCCCCCCCCCCCCCCGCCCCTTATAAAGCCACCAGAGTCCAGGCATTGGGGCTCCACCCAACCTTATTTTACTCCACTTATCTCTCTCGATGCCCCCATTGTTGGATTAAGTCTCTGCCTTTATAGTACCTCACCCTGGGCATTAAACTCCATCACAGATCTTTGGGGACACACTTGAGCCATAGCTAGACCAGAGCAGACACCTGGAGAAAATCATTGATTCTACTTCAAAAGGACAAAATTCAAGTTTTTTTAAAAAATGTGGTTTTTGTCAAGCATTACATTTAGTTTATGGGTGTCTCCTGCCACCTGTCGTTTGAACTTGGTATTTGCCCTGGTCATCATAAATGGATACCTAAGTGTGGTACACACACACAGTGGGAGTCATTCGGCCTTAAAACAGAGGGAAGTTTAAGTATGCTGTGATTGGAGGAACCTTGAAGTCATTATGCCAAGTGAAGCAAGCCTGGTACACAAGTGGAAATGCTGCATGATTCCACGCACACAAGGCCCCTAGAATGCTCGGGTTGTGGAGCCAGGAAGTGGAACAGGTTGTGGAACAGAGGTGGGGGCTAGTGTCCCCTGGGTGCAGGTTTCAGTGGGGGAGATGAGAAGCTCTGAGGTGGCAGAGACAGCTGTGCAACAGTGTGGCACACTCAAAGCGGTGCATTCAAATGGTCAAAGCAGTAAAATGTGTGTCGTGTGCATGTTGCCACAATGGAAAGCATTTGGTACTGGTTTCTGGGGATGTGAGCAAGTTTAGCTCACAACCTGGGTGGCCCCACGTGCGATGCCAAGGGCGGCAAGCCACTCCCAGGGCAGCGGGCAGTGTGTGTGCTTATCCTTGGGATGAAGTTTGGGGACAGCGCCTGGGAAGCAGCAACTCAATGTGGCCGCAGGGAAGGGGCAAATTAGGGCAATTTGTCTGGTTCCTACTTCTGCATAGCAGCTTTTTCTTGGTGCACGGAGTTGAATATTTTCACGACAAGTAGTTTCTGGCCAGGTGTGGTGGCTTACTTGGGAGGCTGAGGCAGGAGGATCACCATGAGTTTGAGGCCAGCCTGGGCTGCATAGTGAGGTCAAGGCGAGCCCTGACTACATAGTGAGACCCTGTCTCCAAAAAAAAGGGATGACTGTTTAACATCCCTCAGAAACAGAAACAATCTTTTCCATCATTTATTTTTTAGCAGTTTTAGAACATAGTAAAGTGACAAGGCCATTTACATAGGTCTACCATTAAAGATCATATAATCACCTGGCAGTTGCTAAAAGAAAAGATGTAGGCAAGTGCCCCTTCTGCACCGTCAGAATTTTATATATTCTGGAAAGAAAACTGTTGAGGATCTCCTGTGTCCACAGGCTCAGAGTGGTCATAACCCAAGTGCCACAGGTCATACATCATGATTTCCACACATTTTATGTCTAAATCATTTAAAAACTCTTCCAGGACAATATTTTTAATTTCATGGCCTCTGAAAGTTTTAGGAAAGCCCTCCCTGTCACCTTTTCCTCTTTTGGTTTACCTGGTGTCCACTCCGGAACTTGGGATCCGATGTCAGTGCAGCAGCCTGGCACGGTGCCTGCACCCCCACAGGGAGCAGCCCGAGTCTGTCTTCTGCAGCAGGGACTGAAGCCTTGTCTCATGATCTGGGGGAGATGCACTATTTTTTTTTTCAGAAAGTTTGTTGAAATGGTAGAGACTGAATGGAGAAAGCACTTTAGATATCAGCGGAGATGGAAGAGGCAGACAGCTTCCCAGCGCCCAGGGAGGCCTGACTTGGGCCAGCAAGAGAGGATGATTTCCGAAAACTACACTGCCACCTGCCAGGAGGGGCACTTGCCTACATCTTTTCTTTTAGCAACTGCCCGGTGAGAAAGGGGAGGGGGCAGCTGTGTTTCCTGCCTCCCTGGCGAGGCAGAGCGTCCTTTACTGTGAACAACCTTGGACATAAAGCAACTTGGAGGGGAAGCACTTGTTCTTGTTCAGTTCCAGGGTCTCACTCTGTAATCACCTGGCCCTGCTGCTCTGGGCCAGGCAGCCCAGCACCACCCGGCAGAGCATTGCCACAGAAGGCAGCTGCGCTCATGCAGCTGGGCAGCAGAGCAGGAAGAGGCCAGGACAGCATGCTCCCAAGGGCACACTGCCTTCCCTGAGGCCCCACCTCTAAGGCTCCACTGCCCCCCAAAGTGCAACCATGGGGAACAAGCTAGGGGACGGTGCAGGTCCAAACTGTGAAGGAGTTGATATGTATCACACTCAGTGACAGGTGTCAGAGATGAACACAGCAGCTTAGTGACCAGGAGCAGAGCAGAAGGGCTGGGGGCCAGGCAGGGAGTGCCGATTTCAGATGTGGTTCCGGCTCAGGACGGAGACCCTAGGATGCTGGGCTACAGTGAGAAGGTGTGCAGGTCAGGAAACACCCAGGCAGGAATGTGTGCATTTCCAAGGACCAACAAGAAGTCTGTTGGAATCTGCCCTCTCCACATCACCAGGCCAGCTGCCTGCCCTGAACAGGGTCACCATGGGGCCTTGACTTTTTCTCAGAGTAAAGAAGAAGTTACCGTGGTGACCCGAGTTGTGGAGCAGGGCAGTGGTCTAATTTGGGTTTCAAAGCATTTCTGTAAGAAGCAAATGGATCCGCAGGTGTCAAAGCCCAGCAGGCTGGGCTGCACGCCAGTCAAGCAGGCAAGGCAGGTCACTGTCCACAATAGATCCAGGGCGGGACAGGGTCCATGGATTGAATGAGGGGCCAGGAGGTGGCCCCTGTGTTGCGGGCTTGGAGAGATCTACATTGCCCCCAGCTTCAGGGAGCCACATGACCTCTGCCCAGGTACAGGCAGAGGGGGCAGGGAGGTCACCAGGCTTGAAAACTGCCTGCAATCAGACATAGAAACCAGAGTGAACCTCTCCAGTCCCAGTCCCAGGCTGGTGGAGAAAACAGGCAAGTCAGTGGCAGTGGGCACAGTGGACAGTGTCCCCAAGGCTGTGAGGCCAGGAACACCCGTCATTGCCCATGGGAGACCTCAGGGAAGCCACCTGGACCTGCCCTGCCATATGAAGAGTGGCAGAAGGCAGGAGGGATTGAGGTGGAGCCTGCACGTGGGCAGTAAATTCTGGAAACTG